CAAACGACACTAAATATCTCAACACTATTATAAGTATCATACACCTATATCAAAAAAAGTTGCCAGAGCAAAGGCAGATAGGCGATAGGTTATTCGAAGACGCATAGGCATTATAGGTGTACATTGAAGTGTTTTAAATGGCTTTGTCGACTACTACAAACGACACTAAATACCTCAACACTACCTAAAACATATTCTTGACCAGAATGATATAGGACAAGTACCTTTATGTGCTGTGTTTAGCTATACAACATGCAGCAATGAAGGCATGGCCGGCATGATCTTTTAATGATTGTGGAGCATTGAAAACTGTTTTATGTGAGTTCTGTTTAGTTATACAACATGCAGCGATGAAGGCATGATTGGAGCATGGAAAACAGTTTTATTTCTTGATGAGAGTATTTCAATGGAGCCTTGCTCCATACAGTGTACTTAACGCCTTACCTTTTGCCATTTCAGGTTGAGCTAAAGACCCTAACACGCGCAGGAATCCCCCATCAATATCGTGCCCAAATATGGAAACAATGTATCGAGGTTTACGTACGCGAAACCAAGAAGGTTGCTGGTAAAGATTATTACACGAAGATACTGGCATCCATGGCGGGCAAGTTCTCTCCTGCTGCCAAACAAATTGAGCTGGATTTGTTACGGACGTTGCCTAATAACAAACACTACGATAAACCAGACTCTGATGGGGTAAGGATCGTCTTCATTGCGTATTAGGGCCATGATTGGAAAGCTAATGACACCAAGTCATTGCCCTTTGCATCATCATGATCATGATCATCATCATCATCATCATTACAATTATATCAGCATTAACTAGCATCATCATCAGCATTGATACTATCATCTACATCACCATTAACATCACCACCACCACCACCACCTGCATCATCATCATCGTCATCACCACCACCACTATCATCTGCATTATCATCATTGCCACCGCCATCACCATCATCACCATTACCACCACCGCCACAACCATCATCATCATCATCATCACAATCACCATCATCAATATCACTACCACCACCATCATATTTATCATTATTATCATCACAAATTTGAGACTATTTTATTTACAGATAGACAAACTACGCAGGGTACTGCTAGCATACAGTGGACACAACCCCGAAGTTGGCTACTGCCAGGTAAAATATTAGGCTCTATATATCCTCTTGGCTACAATAGATACCTCATGCATGAGGATATCAAGACCAGGAAGGCGACTCCAGGATAATGATGCCACCACTTTTTCAAAACGGTTTTCATGCATGCGCCACTGTCCTTACCATTCTCTTTAGTGAAAAAGCACCAACTGACGCTCTAACAAAGATGCTAATGGCAAGGATTATGGTGTGTGCATAAGAATTATTTTTCAAATGTGTTCACGTCATTGTTTTGATGTTGCTGTCCTCGATTCTTGATGATGTTCTGAACCCGCAAAATTAAAATACTAGAATAAATTGATAATCAGTATAAAGAGATGATGAAAAGGTAAATTATACACCGTGAAAAGATGAAAAAACTTACTGAATAATTTACCTTTTCATCATTACTGATAATCAGTATAGTGTACAATCGTTTGAACACGCTTAATTTCAAGACAGTTTTTTGACCAGTTACTCCACAAAAAGCAAAACATCGTTAGCTACGGGAATGTAGAGAATTAGGTCTTGAGATGAGAATACAAAGACAGACATACGCGCTGTATCAGACAAACACACTTATGGTATATACTTTGCTACAGAGAAAAGATGTTTTTCATCATTTTAGTTACTGCATGTACCTGGTACAAATGATCATCGTTATTATCTATCATTATTCAATACTTTCCATTAAAGGGAATCAATCGTCTGGTTGCCATAGCAATGCTGTATTTGACAGAAGATGAGGCATTCTGGTAAGAGCTGTCAGTATTTAATAAGATCACGTGTCATTCTTTTGGGAATAAGATTCTTTATTTTCGTTGTACCCAGATTCATGTGTCTTCTCAGGTGCAACGTTAAACAAAGAAATGATACTCTAGGGAATGACACGTGATGAAATGAGAAAATATTTTACCAAAGCTGAAAAAACTTAGAGAGTCGCATTACTTCCTCGCTAGAGTCTCCCAGTGACCTGTAGTTTGTAAAGATAAGTTGAATCCAAAGCAAGGAACGAATCCTAATGGTGGCGTATGCTTTTTTTGGTTGCCAGGTTTCTTGTGGCAGTCATTGAACACATCATGCCTAAGGACTATTATTCCAAGACATTACTAGCAGCACAGGCAGATCAACGTGTACTAAAGGACCTACTGGCCGAAAAACTACCCAGAGTTAACACACACCTGGAAAATTTAAGGTACACCTTTTGCCGTTCATTAACAGAAAATGTACATTCATTTGTGCCAATAGTTGTATCAATAACGTGTAATGTACTTTCATCAACACCACAAGTAACATCGTTAGCGTGGATCAACTTTCAATAACGATATTTGAATATGCGTGTACATTCATAGGCATCAATGGACAATCAATAGCGCGTTTGTACATTCATATGCGCGGAWTGTATTTTCTTGTGCGCGAAATTCAACTTCAATAACACCAAATGACAAACAATTGCATTTATGGACAATCATTTACCCAAAAGCGAAAATTCATTAGTGCTATTAGCATAATCATTGACAATCTATAACGCGTTTGGACAATCATGAGGGTCAACGTTATATTCTATAGCGTGGTTCGACAAACATTTGCATGATTCGAATGAACAATAAGAGAAATAAAACAATCATTAGCGATGTCCTTTTTTAATTTTAGCCTTCAATTTCTTCGCCATTTATACTTCGTGGCAAATACGTTTGCATATATCTGAACCACTGACCACATTTAGCGATAGTGATAGTTGCCACATTTTGGTACATTTTACTACATTCTGTAGTGACCTAGAGCAATCCCTTGTCGTCTTGCCTCAGCCCGATCGTTCGTATGTTGTTGGATCTCTGGACGGTGATGTCGGCTTTGATTGCTGCTTTAAGTGAGCTAATTGCCATTCTCCTACGCAGCCGCTATTATGGAGGCAGTTTCCTGAGTTTTTTATATGTTTTAAATTGATAAGAAAGAGCATCGTTAATGATTGTTTTATTTCTCTTATTGTTCATTCGAATCATGCAAATGTTTGT